ATCAACTCCTCCAATTCATTCCCTTGGTTAGTGTTGCATGAAAGTAAGTCCCTCGTCTTTGGGACAGTTGTTTTCTTCAATATAAATGAAGAAACATGCACTCTGCCTTACATGCAACCTATGTGTCTGAGTAAGCAAGTCTCTCACTGGCCAACTCTAGATTCAGAAACAGTGAAGCAAACGCTGGCCTTGACAATCATATCCAGGTCTGCCTCTGAGCAAAACTGGACCAACAAGCTTCTCTCCTGAGGCTACACTTATATCTGACAGGAGACATTCTTTTGTATTTCATTCCTGGCCAACAGCAACAATACTTAAAAATATTCAAGGTATCTAAGTAAGTCAGTGCTCAAATTCATCGAGATGTGCCTGCTAAGCAATGGAACAGCAATAATTTTAAATGATCATTAAATATGTCTAGTCTTATACCAAGAATATCTGATTAATCAGGGGTAGATATACACATGATATATGCATATAATTATGCAAGTCTAAAACAGTTTATGAGGGGTGTCAGCCTTCACCAATTGAGAGAGTTAGAGAACACTGAGGAGGCAGCCACACTGCCTTCTCCCCCCAGAAAAGTGCTGCCCATCACTTACTCCAGAAATTGTCATCTGGAGTAGCTCCAAGTCCCAGCATTGAATGAGAAGGCGTCTCTCAGTGTAAAATACTGTAATGTCTGTGTACTGCCTTCTGCCTCCTTAGAGGCATCAGCAGAGGCTCCAGAAAGCCTAGGCCTGGGATCTAAGGCAATTCCAGTTAGACAGACAGAGTGAGTTCAAGGCTCCTCAGGAAATTGCATCTGTAAGGATTTTAAGCCAAAGTAGGCTTGGAATAGATGCAGTCAACACAGCCTAATGGTTTCCAGGCAGCTGCAATGGGTGCTGTGCTGGGACAGCCATTACTGCTTTCTACTATCTACCTAAAGAAATGGATTTCCCCAAGGTGTGAACTATCTATCTCCTATGGTTAACCCTGTCCTGGCTGGCTCTTTTCCACTGTTTACATCCTTGTTAAGTGTCCCCTCCTCAGCCACACCTTCTAACCAGGGTTTCTTGTAATCCTTTCTCTGTCTGTTCCCCTTCTAGGAATCCTTTCCATGGGTAGGTACTGCATGGAGGTCTCCTTCCTTCCTCCCTCATTCAAAACACAACACCCGACACACTGTCAAGTATTAGACAAAATCTGCAATCCTCATAAAGGATAAATAAACCCTATCCTGAAACCTCCTATCTCCACATTACAAGTAAGAACACATCTTGCTGAGGGGTAAGACAGCCTGCAGGTGGAAGGACAGTGGTGGCACAAAACACAATAACCCCCTGGATCGTCACCTTACCTAAGTTTGAGCTTAGCATCTTTCTGTATTCCTTCTGCCAACCCACACTCCACAGACCCCTAGCACCCTCTAAGTGATGGCCCCTTGACAGATAGAGGCTCACAGCAGATATGAGATGCACTTACCCAGCTCCCAGCTCTCCCTTCTCTCTACCACAGTCTCCCAAATTCCCCTCATAGTCAGAGCTCTGTCTCTCAAAGGCAGCATCAAGATCAGTGGGGGTGACAACAAGTTTAGGTGATATACTAAACAATTTGTTTTGTAATAGTTATATTTTAATTTCAGGCTACAAAACTGACCAATCAAATGTAATTTCAGATATTATACAGTGATATAAAATTCTGAGTTCTTAGCAAATGCTTCAGGAGCAGCACAGAAAGTACATGGGATGATGGTGGAGGTATGGATGATGGATCTGAAGAACATGGCTCCAAGGATGGCTTGAGAGATGTTTGTGACAATGGACGAGAACCACCAAGTGGGTACAAGGTGTCCAGCATATACCACAAAATATTCATCCAGCATGTACAAAGAACATCCAAGTCTACATTCTATCCTTGCTCTTAAGGCTTATGAGTGATAAAGACATCACCTGTATGCTGATGGAGCTTACATGTAGGGTAAAGGAACAACACAAAAAAATCAATTAAAAACATAGGTAGTGGTAAGTGTTGTGTTGAAAAGGAAACAGAGGGTTAGGGGCATGGCTCAAGTGGTAGAATGCCTGCCTTGCCTAGAAAATGAAACAGAAAAAAGATGACTGGGGACCACTTAGGTGGGTAGGATGGGCCTCTAAGAAGAGGTAATAAATTTGATGAAATCCTGGCACTTGTAACTGAGGCTCAACAAATGGTATTCATTAACATTATTGTGACTGACAAACTAAGTACCAGGTGAAGACTTTGCCATCAAAATTGTCTAAATGTCTTCTATTAACTCTCTAAAGGGACTGAATCCAGCTGCCCATTTTGCAGAGAGGTAAGCCACTGCAGAAGTAGCAGCCTCTAGCTGCCAACTTCCCTCTTCCCTCTTAGTTTCTGAGATCAACATGAAATAAGGGATCCTCCACAAACATGAAACATCATTTTTTTGGAACAAAATCTAGACAAAATACTATAACATGGATAATTTATTTTTACTGCCTTTCAAACTCCAACGTCATGCCAGAAAGAGGTAAATTACACAAGTTAGGCAGGTAACTAAGAAGCTGAACCCAATGGAGGCTGAGTTGACAGGATAAGTTCCCTAACAGAAAAAGTGAGGATTGTGAATAGCAGAAAATATGTCCTTGTTCTGACCCCTTTCTTTTGTACCTTTTGCTCAAGGGAGTAAAGCATCTACTATGATTTTTCTGCTACACTGAAGATAGGGTTTTAAATATCATGGCCTCAAAGTGGCCACAAACAGCAGGTTCATTTGATAAATACAGCAATAGGAACTGCATTCTTAAGAACAAAGATATCTTTTATAGGGTCCTGCCCGCCTTCCCCCAGTCCCATTGAACTGGTTTGGACTAACAATTTTATACAACATATTAACTTTATTGTTTATAGAGGGTTACACTTTACAAAAAAAAAAATCATGCTGATGGGTGTCCAGGGAAGTTCTGTGAGCATTACAAAGACTCCCCTCCCCACCACATACAAGATTCTCCTATGACTCCACTAAGTGTCCAAAGCTCAGTAGACATAGTGTCCAGACACAGACAGCACATTACAATGTGTACAAGGAAGAAATAAAAAAGTTTATGTTCTGTCCTTATCAGCAGCTACCATTAAGGACTGTTCCCACCCAATCCATCTAAGATCACCAGGATTCAGCAAGTTTGAGAGAATCCGATTTGTTGGTTCAGTGCAGTGAAGCAACTGCCCATGTCTCCAACCAAACATTAACTCTAAGACTCGTAACAACCCTGAAGGTTATATTATTACCTTAATTTTATTCATCAGGAAATTAAAGCTCAGAGAAGTGTCCTTTCTCAAAGTGCGGGGCTAATAAGCTGTCACCCATCTAACACAAAACCTTTACAAAGCAACTCAGAATACTCACATCCAGGCCAAGCCCATAACTTTTCCTGTACACATTGGTCAAAGGAGTGGGAGCAAAGCAAAACATGCTATTGTGTATTTTTAACACACTGAATTCAACTTCACACCACAGGCCATCAGCACTGTTATCACTTTCTCAGTGTTTCAGTGCTGGCCAGCTCCTTTCAAAGGCAGTAGGGCACAACTGGATGCCTATCCAGAGAGCAACCCTACAAATACGGCTTCTCACGCTCCAAAATTCCTGGTGAAGAGACAGCAGGGTAAAAGAAGTGGAGGTGGGACTGGAGGGAGTATTCTGTGAAAGACATTGACAGGACGGAGACCAGGGCTGAAGGACTGGTCTGGGGGTAAATCAAGTCAGGACCAGGGCTGAGGAGCACACTGTGAAATGGTCTGCAATGTCACGTTATACAGTACGGATTTTTCTTTTTACACAAAAGTAAGAAGACTATGATTAGATCACTAATATGCTTAAGAAATGACCAATAATTATCTTAGAGGATTTGCTACATCTACTGTTAGTTTAAAAATGTAAGGTGATTTTAATGAAAACATCTATATTATTTGTAAATTAAAATGCAATACAACATAACTGTTTTTATTTCAGAGTACCTAAGAGGCCTAAGACAGCAGGGTATTTTGTCACGTTGTTTAAATCTTCCTGTTAAAACATGTAACATGTTTGGCTGCATGACAAAGATATGAGAAGAGGTCCACAACCTGCAAGAAACCTGCATGGCCCTATGTACATGGCCAAGGAGTCAGTCAGAGCCATGTCTTGGCTGAGAGGAACATGGCCTGGAGCAAGCTCAGTGTGTGGGAGACACTGCTGCTAGGACCATGCCCTCGCAGCTGATGTGCTTCTGGGTAAGCTACTGAAGGGGCCACATTGCTGAGGTGACAGATTCTATTTGGTAGCTGACCCACCCCTTCAAGTCCTTTGCCTCACTGCCTTCTGAATAGAGGAGGCCTATGGAGCCAGCTCTGGTCAGCGAGATATAAGCACTGTGTGAGTCCTCCAGCCAGGGAAGTATCAGCCTTTCTGCCAAAAAGAGTCCCCCTCAGCTGACAGACCCCCTCCATCTTTAATCATTCCTTTTATTCCTGCCAAGGCCAAAGCTAAGGTGTCTAGAGATCCAACTCTTACCATGAGACCACTGTATTAAAGCAGAAGGATGACAATATATGAAGGATGGTGGCACAGAAAGGAAAGAGAGAGTGTGAATGCCTGGCAACATCTGTGAGCAACTCAGCCCTGGACGACCAATTTCTAGATACTTCATCAACTGACCTATATAAATCTATATTTATATCACCAAAGTTGACTTTTTGTTACTCTCAAATGCACTCCTAATCAAAGTGACAGACTGCTGGTCACTGAGATTTCTTCTGCCTGGAAGTACATGATTTCCTGGACAAAATGGATTTCCTCTGTAAGTCACTTTCCCCAAAACACACTCAAAATCACCTCACTAGAAAGATATAACTGCCACAATCTTCACATGGTCCCAAAGTAGATTAGAGACATGTATCAAGAACCTCTGTCTTTAAAAGACAAGAGTATCAACACATGCAAAATGTAAGAATATCAAAGTCCCAAGGCACTCTACCTTAGAAATGTTGCTTGAATGACTCATGGAATGTCTCAAAGTCTTCTCATTCTGCAAGAAAGCCAAATAGGTGATAAGTATTAAGCTTTGATTAAAATGTGCAAAGAACAATCAACTGATTACAATAATCCTACTGACAAATTATTCCCTTAGCTAGAGTTTCCTAAACATAAACGACCATATAACTACATTGTGTGTAGCCAGGTATTAGATACTGGAAAATTGGGCCAAACTAAATAAAACAACAGTCCCTGACCTGAAGGAACTGATAAGGAAAAGAACAAGTTTGGAGTTAACTGTAAAAAATGAAACAGTGATAATTGTCTTAAGGTACATTCAAGTGCAGTTCAAAGCTGAGAAACTGCATGTCCCACTGTATATAATAAGGAAGAAGCAGCAGGACAGCTGACCTTGGGCCATCTCACTGGCAAAGTTCTAAGTGGTCAAGAAGGACACCACACAGTTCACATCTTCTTCCCCAAGACTGTTTCTCTTCCTGGAGCAAAGAAACCTGGAAGTCACACTAAGCTCCTCTTTCTTACATTCCCCCATGTTTAGTCTCAAACTCTTATATCAAATTCCCCCTCTTTAATGTCTCTCAATCCCAAATTTCATTTCTATTTTTAGTTAATGCCTTACTTTAGGTTCTCTTCATTTCTTGTGTGTGTGTGTGTGTGTGTGTGTGTGTGTGTGTGTGCATGTGTGTGTGTGTGCGCATGCACACTTTTTTGGGGAACAGTCCTGGGGTTTCAATTTATGGCTTCTCACTTGCTAGGCAGGGGCCCTATCACTTCAACCATGCCCCCAGCAGTCCTCACCTGAAATTTTTTTAGCAATTTTCTATTTGGTCTGCTTTTAGGGTGACCATCCTAAACATAATTATGTGCTAAACTATATCCCCACTCCCCAAATTTACATTCTGAAGTTCTAATTTCCAATACTTCAGAATGTGAATATGACTATATTTGGAGATAGGATCTTTAATGAGGTGATTAAATCATAATGAAGTCATTAGGAAAGATCTTAATCCTTAAAAGGGATTGGTACCGTTTTAAGAAAAGGAGAAAAGGACACAGTATGCACAGAGGAAAAATAAATGCCATTGTAAGGTAGAGAGAGAGGCCTCTAAGGAAACCAATGCTGCTGGGACCTGGAGATCAGACTTCCAGCCTCCAGATTACGAGAAAATAAATTCCTGCTGTTTAAGCAACTCCATCTGTAGCACTTTATTATGGTAACCCTAACAAACATAGAAGAATCTACTACACTGTGACTTTCTTTTTTAAAAAATATATAAATATAAATGATTTTTTAAAATAAGAAGTAACTTTTCCAGAATCAACTTATTCTTACTCAAAGCCCAAATGAGTAAAAAACTATTACAAAAGGAAAATAATATTTTGCTTCTATCTTTAAGATGATCTGTTTGCTTTTTTTAAGTTTTCAACTATGCTTTAATCATGGACAAGTCTGAAATGTAGTCAAGTAAAATTCTTTGGTCAGTAAGAAGTACAAAGAAGATAGTGGGTCATTTTAAAACACCCTTGAGTAAGACATGATACTTACTCCATTAAGTTCCTCCTTAACAACAGCTAGTCATGGGGACTAGGGGTGTGGTTCAATGGTGCTCAGCATGAAGAAGACCCTGGCTTCTATCCCCAGCACTGGGAAGGGGATGGGGGACAGAATGGGGATATGTGGATGGAAGCTAGTCATAAAGACAGCCTGAATGTTCCCCTTTTCTTCAACCACTAAATTCTAGGCTGCCTTCATTTTTGTACTCTTGGCTTTGAATGCTCAATATCCTCAAAATGCTGATGAAGGAAGCATTTGTCAGCCATTATATCTATTCTGGCATTGTTTTCTTTGTCTTTACAGAAATGTGTGCATGCAAATTTCTGAGTATTTTCCTTATTTTATAAATCAGAATGGAAGTAGAAGTACATGTCTCTTTCATTGTACAATAAAGACACTGCTATTAAGTGTTCAGCCTTAATGGAAGATTTCTTGATCTTAAGCCAGACAAACAGTTATAAAGGAAAAAGAAGAAAATTATAAAATATACTCAAAGTGTTGGAAGTGTGTCACCAAAGACTGTTTCTAAGAGCTCAGGTTTGATTAGGATTTTCCATAAATCATGATACACACTCACTGCAAATGGATTCTGCCCACATAATGGATAGTGGATCTCTGCCCATTTGAGTCTCATTCATATGTCAAGAATGTATTATGGATAAACACAGGGCTGCCCTGTGAATCCCAGCTTCAAGGACAATCTTCTAGTGATATACAATCAGATTTTAATTTAGTCTACTAAACTAAAACTAAGATACCATGTATATTGGGTTGTCTGTACAGAAAAGATATTGCAATCACTGTGACATTAACTATTACCTCACAAGAAACAGCCAATTTGACACCATCCGGAAACCTACAGTAAAGTTTTAAGGTACTAAAAGAATCAATAAATCATTTCTTAAAACCTTTTTGATACTCACTATTCCACAAAGAATGAATACTGGGATGGGGAGAGGTTATAAAACATTGTAAATCCAGACAGAAACCTAAAAATTTCTTTACCCTGTGAACTTAAGAAATAAATTTGATGCAAACCTTTACTCTATGTTCCATAGAACAATGAATATTTTACGCTGGTTTCAAAAAAAAGAAAAATGAAATATACATCTTCAGAAGACACTAGTGTTTAAAAGCATGAAACTTACCAATGCGTAGGGCTGTTTCTCCATTCTTACACAGAATGTTAACAATTCGGTTCCAAAAGACATTTACTTTTCCCCTCCATAAGCATTGCTATTTAAGGTTGATGTATTTGGATATAACAAAAAAAATCTAAGAAGTTCAGGCCACAACAGAGCTCTTTTCTAGAAAGCAAATGCCAGACTTCAAATTCACTACACACTTACTATGTGACTATTCCATGCATGCAACCGTGAAAGGCTTGGAATATGAACAACAATAAAACTGCCACCTAGCCTTGGACCAATGGTAGTATTATCACACAACTGCTTTCAAAACAGGGTTTCGATGAGGAAAGTACAAACTAAGGGAAAGCTGAGAATGACATAAAAACACACAAACCTAAATTAGGCCAGGGTGAAGTGACACTGCTCCATCCTATGGTCAGAAGGGTATATTTTTGAATAAGAAGAAAAACTTGTCAAATATCAATGTCAAAAAGTGGAACTAAGTTTATTGAAAAGAATTCTAATTTGGGTCAAAACTAAGCTTTGATTCCCAAATAGTAAAAACCTGGGCAATTATTTTCCTAAGATCTTTAACACATTCTGTCATTGCTTAATAGGAGCATCTCTCTGACTCTGGAGATGGATGCCTCCTTGAGCCTCCCATCCTCCAATGAGGTGCCAGGAGTTGCAAACACTTCCCTGGCTTCCTCTCACCTCCACATCTCTTTGGTGGGCTTGTTTTACTTAAACACAGGGGCTCCCCAGAAGACAGCTTCCTGCCCTCTTTTCATCCATTCTCTGTCTTAGACCAGTGTTTCTCCAACTCTGTGCACATGATCATTTAGGGATGTTGCTAAAACACAGATCAGGATTTGCTTGCCTTCAGGTACCTGGAGATTCTACATTTCCAATAAGCTACCAAGTTCACTCTCATGCTAAAGGTACCTAGACCATACTTTGAGGTGCAAGTTTCATTCCATATCCTGGACCAAAATAATCCAAACAGGCTATGGCTCATCTTTTAAAAAGTAAATCATGACTATTGTAAAAGTAATTTCTGTGTAAAAGATGGCAGTAAGCTTAAAATCAATCTGCAAGCAGATACAGAGTGGTAAAGAGTCAGTCTGGGGATGTGAGAAATCCAAGTATTATAAGCATAACTTTCTAAATCACTATGATAAAGAGCCCTGTTAAAGAGTAAGGGACACATCACAATTTCATCAGTCCTATCAATATTTTGTAAGTCCACATGTGACTAATAGAATATTCCTTGGTGGCAGAGCCAAGACTGCACAGAGATCAAACATGCTCTGAAAGGCAAAAGTCAAGAAGTCAATGAGTTAAGGGGCCGAAACAAGTTTGGGGGATTCTGCATGGAAGAGTCAAACCACAGAACTTCATGTGGGTGTCTCCCTTCCAGGACCAGTCATTAAAAAACAACATGTAAACAAAAAAAAAAATCTATGGGTAATAAACATTACTACCTACCAGTACCTACCATCCTCTTCTCCCCACCAAAAGAACCCAGACTTTGTTCTGAGCAGCCAAGGAAACAGCTAAAAGTTCTTACTTTCCCATACTGCTTTGCAGCTAAGGTAAAATACATAAGAAAACTATTTCTAAAGAAATTAACTAGAGTTTTTTGTGGGGTTTTTTTTTGGGGGGGGAATGGTTACTGGGGTTTGTACTCAGGGCCTCACACTTACTAAGCAAGTGTTCTACCGCTTCAGCCACTCCGCCAGCCTTATCTAGATATTTTCGGGTGAAACATTTGCTTTCTTGATATAGCCACTGCCCGTTTATTTGGAATTCCTTCTCTCTCATACAGCTGGGAATCCAGCTATAAAGCATAAAGGCATAAGAGTTATCTTGGGACCATGAGGAGGTAAAGTATACACTAGAAGTCTCAAACTTTTTGGTCTTAGGACCAATAAGTATTTTTTTACACTATAAAAAAAAGGATCCCCAAAATCTTTCATTTATATAAGTTATATTTATTGATATTTGTCATATTAGAAATTAAAACTGATAATTTAAAAATAGTATCTCTTAATTCACTCAGCATTAATAAACTCAGTTAACATGTTAACATTGAAAGATAATCAATTTTCAAACCAAAAAATCTAAGTGATTAGAGTGACACTGCTTATATTTCTGTAAATCTCAGTATCATCTACTTAATAGAAGACAGCTGGATTCCCATATCTGCGTGTGCATCCAATTTCTTCCGATATGCTATTTTTGTAGGGACCTCCAGGAAAGCCCAGAGTTGGTATGAAAACTATTTTAAACATAAGACATTTGAAATTCTACAGATCCAGAAAGAAGTCATTTTCATGCACCCCC